ACCACCCCCTCCCCACCGCCCCCTGGGATGGTGTCACCCGACCCCCACTCCAGGTTGGGACCCGTCACCCAACGGGTGCCACCTCCCCTCTCCAGGGCTTCTAGAACCTGTTGGGTGGCCCAAACTGCCCCCCACATCCCAGTTCCCATGATCACCAGGTGCTCCTGGTGGTGCCTACCTCAACCCTGCCCATGATGGTGCCCACATCGCCCGTGCCCACATTCCCCGTGCTCATGGTGGTGCCCACATCTCTTGTGCCCACAGTGGTGCCCACTTCTGCCATGCCCAGGGTGGTAACCACATCCTCCATGGCCATGGTTGTGCCCACATTCCCCATGGCCATGATGGTGTCCACCTCCCCCATGACCAGGGCACTAACCACACCCCCCCCATGGCCATGGTGGTGCCCATGTGCCCTGTGCCCATGGTGGTGCCCAAATCTCTTGTGCCCAGGGCAGTAATCCCATCTGCCATGGCCATGGTTGTGCCCACATCCCCCCCGTGGCCATGGTGGTGCCCATGTCCCCTGTGCCCATGGTGGTGCCCACTTCTCCCATGTCCATGATGGTCCCCACTGCCCCCATGCCCAGGGCAGTAACCACATCCTCCATGTCTGTGATGGTACCCACATCCTTCATGCCCATGGTGGTGCCTACAACTCCATGGCCATGGTGGTGCCCAGATCCCCCAAGCCCACGATGGTGCCCATGTCCCCCATGGCTGTGGTGGTACCCACAAGCACTGTGCCCATGGTGATGCCCACATCCCCCTTGCCCCTAGTGAAGCCCACATTCCCCATAAACGTGGTGGTGCCCACATCCCCCATGCCAACGTTGGTGCCCACAGACCCAGCTGGGCTCGCTCACCACATGGTCTGCACAGAGATGGGCTTGAAGATGCGGGTCTGCCCCCCTGACGTCACGCTGAAGCCCCTGGGCACCATGGGGAGACACGTAGGTTGGGGTGGGCACCTCAGCCCTGCCCCTACCCACAGGCTCCCCCCAATCCCACCATCACAACCCCCTCCCTCTCCCAGAAGACCTCCCCTATTCCTTACCCATCGCCGTCGAGGAAGACCTGGGTGTCGCTCCAGAGGGGCAGCACCATGCCCAGGGTGCAGCGGGTGGCCCTGGGGTGGGCAGAGGTCAGGGGGTGCAGATGCCCCCCACTTTGCCCCCCCCCCTGCACCCCACTCACCCCTCGTGGGCAAAATCCACCCCCAGCAGCGCCGTCTCCCCCTCGGCTCCCCCCTCCTCGGGCCGCACCACCAGCAGGTACCGCACTCGCCGCGGCCGCGCCGACTCCAGCCGCACCGCCTGGGGGTGTGGGGGGGGGGCGTGAGGGGTGTCCCCTGCACCCCCAGGGGCAGCACCGTGGGGTCTGCCCCCTCCAATGCCCCCAGTGCCCGGGAAGGAGCATCAAGAACGCTGGGGGGGGCAGGCTGGGCCATATCCCATCCCCATCCCATCCCATCCCTTCATCCCTATCCCATCCCATTTCATCCCCATCCCATTCCATTTCATCCCTATCCCATTCCGTTTCGTCCCCATCCCATCCCATTCTGTCCTCATCCCGTTCTATTCCCATCCCCTCCTGTCCCCATTCTGTCCCATCCCAATCCCAACCTGTCTCATCCCGTCCCCATCCCATCCCCACCCTGTCCCCATCCATATCCCATTCCCATCCCCATCCTTTTCTCACCTCTGTCCCCATCCCCATCGTGTCCCCAACCCCCTCCCATTCCATCTATTTCACTGTCCCTATCTCATCCCCATCCCATCACTATCACCATTCCTATTCTGGTCACCATCCTCAACCCATCCCTGTCACCTTCCCCATCCCATCAATGTCACCGTCACCATTCCCATCCCATCTCCATCACCATCCTCATCCCATCCCCATCCCATCCCATCACATCCCATCTCATCCCATCCCTGTGACCATCCCCATCCCATCACTGTCACCGTCACCATTCCCATCCCATCTCCATCACCATCCTCATCCCATCCCCTTCCCATCCCATTCCTGTAACCACCTTCATTCCATCACTGTCACTGTCACCATTCCCTTCCCATCCCATCCCTGTCACCATCCTCATCCCATTGCCATCACCGTCACCATCCCTATCCCATCCCTGCCACCATCCCCTCCCATCACTGTCATTGCCACCATTCCCATCTCATCCCTGTCACCATCCCCATCCCATCACTGTCCCCATCACCACCCCCATCCCATTCCATCTCTGTCACCATCTCCATCCCATCCCATCCCATCCCATCCCATCCCTGTGACCATCCCCATCCCATCAATGTCACCACCACCATTCCCTTCCCACCCCATCCCCGTCACCATCCTCATCCCATCACTGTCCCCATCACCACCCCCATCCCATTCCATCGCTGTCACCATCCCCATCCCATCTCCATCCCATCCCATCCCTGTCCCTGTCCCCGGGGGTGTCCATGCCCTACCAGCCGGATGGCGTCCTGTGGCCGCAGCAGCTGCATCATGAGCTGCAGGTGCTGTTCCTGCCGCCCCGGGGCCTGGCCGGGGGGCTCAGCCGGGGGGGGCTCGGCCTCCAGCAGCTCCTCGGCGGGGAGCAGCAGGGCAGCCCCCTTGACCATGACAAAGCTCTGCCTGGGGGGGGGGACACACACAAGATGGCCCTGAGTGGGATTTGGGGGGGCCCAGCCCACAGCAGGACCCAGTCCTCGTGGCTGGGGTACCCCGGGAGGGCTCCCCAAAAAAGGGGGGGGAGGAAATGCTCCTCAGGGGATAGCTGTGTCTTGTGTCCCCCCCCCCC